TGGATGACAGACTGCTTACAAAACCTCTTGCAACTTGTGTCAGCGGGGCAACTTATATCAAAAGTAAACAGAACATTCCACCTTGACTTCAATCGAGGACTATAGGAAGCTAACGGCTTAGATGAAGTAGTCTTTATTAAAAATAAACAAAATTGTACAATGGTTGTCTCTAATAGGTGTAGAGTACTGTTCCTCAAAAAGTAATAAACATTGAGAATATATCGTTTTTCTGCTCAGTGGATAATGTTAAGCTAATAGAACTTAGGATTCCGGCCGAAGTTTTACTCATCTCAAACCTCCAAAAAAAAAATTTCCCTTGAAACACTGAAAGTCTACATTCAAATTTAAGCTCTTGCAAAATATTCAAACCTCTTGAAGTAGTGGCATAGGATAGAATATGGACTGGACCGTTGGACCCCAACCTCGTTCCCATGGCCATGGAATGTTAAATGTCATGTCACGCATTCCATTTCGCACATTGATGATTAAAACAGCATAACTTCAACGCTGGATAATTTTTCAAATATTAGGTTTGCCTTTCATGGCTTAAGGACGCAATTTTTCTGTCACATAACCGATGCACTGATTCATTAAATCCACACAAGTGCAGACAACACAATTACCTTTTTTTAAAAATTACAGATTTCTAATTCACAAATGAAGTATTGCCCTTTTGCAAATTACCGATTTGAGTTAATCCCACAAATAAAATTCTGTCAATCTGTTTTGTATCGCAAATTACAGAAAGCCCTCTTAGAGACAATGAAAAAACGACCTCGATGTTTTCCAATGACTCGAGAGGAAACGAAATCTCTTTCCAATTTCTGCAAACAGTCAGAGTGATAAGTGTCTGCTAAATGCAGGCTAAATCAAGATATTGTGCAAAAATTAGAAAAAAACCGAATTGCACAAATAAAGTTAAAGTGTGTGGGCTGTGAGGAAATTGGCAACGATAACTTTTCCGTCTGCACCTTGTATATATTATAAAAACAAAACGTGAGAATTAATCTCTTCCTACAATTTGGATTATTTAAGCCGCTAATTAATGCATACTAATGAACGCTCGTTTAAGCGAAAAAAAAGATAAAAAACGGAAGAATGGGCGTGCTCCACAAACCTTTCCCTTATACGACTTGTCAAATGAGGGAGGGGTCATGTTAACCATGAGATAACCCTGATTTGCGAAACGAAACAAAATGAAAAAGTTTTATTTGTGAGATTAAATCAAATCGGTAATTTGCGAAAGGGAAATACTTCATTTGTGAATTAGAAATCTGTAATATTCGAAAAAGGTAATTATTTAATTTGCACTTGTGTGGATTTAATGAACAATGCAGTGGCTATGTGAAAAAAATTGTGCCCTTAAGCCATAAAAGGTAAACTTATTATTTGAAAAATTATCTAGCGCTGAAGCTGGGCTGTTTTAATCATCAATGTGCGAAATGGAATGCGTTACATGACACTCAAGCGTGGGTTTATTGTATCAAAAAGGGGAAAACTGTGTAACTGAAAAGAGAGAAGATTGCTTTGTACGATTGTACCAACAATGATAATATATATATGATAATGATATACAATATTAAATGTATAAAGATTAAAATTGCGATAGCGCATATGAAAACTTAAGGCTAAGGACCGGAAATTCCGTGATCTTGTCTGATAGGGTCAATGACAAAAGGAAGATAGAGAAATTTAGTAATCATATACTGTATACACAAAGGGAAATGTGAAGCAACTGATGGTGCACAACTCTATTCAGTTAAAAGCCACACGCATAATTCAACAGTGGAGGATCGTAGACGCGATATTTTCAATAAGGATGAAAGTCCAGTGTTTAGGTGGCAGTTTTGCATTCGCATGACAAAAAAAAAAAAAAAAAAAAAAAAAAAATAAAAAAAAAAGGTCAGTCGAAAAACCGATTAAAACAATTTGTATGATTGATTAAAAGCTCCATTCACCAGTAGCGTTTACTATTACAACCACCTCCCACCCTTCACTGCGTAGTAATAGTCCGTCTCTCACCCCTCCCTAAGTAATAACACTGTGCCTCCCACCCCTGCCTCAGTGCTGATAGACTGCATCCCTTAGTACAAATGGTGTCTTTCCCCCCCCTCCCGATAAAATTATCCAAAATCCCATGCCTGAAGTAGCAGTGATTTAGCGTTTCAGATGAATTTGATAACAACTGGCTGTCATCAACAACCAATTGTCGTAATCCTTTGTCTACTGAAACTTGAACCAACCGGCTTTCTTACCTGTGTACGTGAGGTCAGATCAACCGTCAAACAAATTAATTTTGTGGAAGCAATCCGAACTGCAATGTATCACGATCGCAACATGCAGAGAACTTTTCATGCAATACTTTTACTTGCAATTTTAAATCGAGGTAGGTGATCTTTACGTATATTTGGCTAGCCTAAGAATTCTTTACCTTTTGGCAGTGGTCAGACATGAGATAAATGAAATGCTTGTATGAACGACTTCCGCATTCGACAGAGAACGTAGCTGGCTCAAAGCGGCTTCTACTCTTGCTCACTTAGCTGATACAAGCACACATTTTTATTGACGGGTTGCGGTAAATATTTTGCCCAATGTTTTAAAAACGAGTTGCTTTGGAACGGAATTGAAAACACATGTACTGCAAATACTCAAGACACGCTCATTGTCGGTTTTTTCTTCTGTTACCGGCCTTGGAGTTTTGTTATTCTATTTGTGTATCTGACCTTTCTCACGGACTCGGAGACGAATTTGAACGAAACTATCGATCGTCTGATCCGAAGTATCGGGCCAGTAAAATTAATCGAATAGGCGGACTCATCCCAACCCACCCCTCTCGTTAAAAGAACGGAATCCAGCGAGGACCTTTCCGGAAAACCCATCTTCAGTTCCGAAATACCTCGAAGACAAAGAAATACGCGTGACATAAATATTACGCGTCATAAATATTGTACAGGGTACAGAGTACAGATGTAATCTTATATCGAGTTTAGGTAGCCGGTGATAAAACGGAGGAAGCTGTGACTATCATACGACATACATCCTGCTGAGATCTTTCGCAAACGCCAAAGCACGTCAAACCTCCCGTTCTTAGCCATAAGTGACAGAAAACAGGGTGCGTCGGTTTCTCAGAAAAGACGGAAGTATTCCTAAACAGACGCTCATTCACAAACATTGCGTTGTCAGCAAGGTATACAAGTCTCGTAACTTTACTGCTTTCTATTGAATAAATCAGACAACTGCTTGTATTTTTTGTTTTCACGCATTTTCGACTGAAAACGGCGGCTGAAAAATTGTTTTCAAATACAGTTTTTTTGACATATTGTCAAGAAACCTTCAAAGTTGCCTAGTAACCTGGTTTGTAGTTCGCGTGGTCATGCAAATTTATAGTGAGGAAATGTCAAGACCCTTCATTTGACAGGAAAAATAAATCATTTTCAAAGCGGTGTGTCCTAACGAGAATATGAGGCAAAGCACAAGTTGTGTTTTGATTCTTTTCATTATTTTCCATAAAGGTAAGTCAACCTTCTCGCCAAACTAAATTCTAGGTCTACTTGTGTCAAATTCGTTGAAAAACGTCTTGGTTTAAGGTTGCTAGAAAGGCTTGCAACATGTCAATCAAAGATGGCGTCAAGAAACGCTTCTTTAATCGAGTTATAGAGGTGTCAACTTCTTGTACTGTGAGAATAGCGTTTGAAGACATAAGATTGTTCAAAACAGCCGAGTTTTAGGAGCCGTTAAAACGAAGAAACAGGCAACGGTTCGTATAAAAAGGAGAGAACACATTTTAAAGTTGGTTTTTTTCAGAAGCTGCGGCGTTTGCTATTTGGTCGATCGACGAACTAAATTACGCAAAAGTGTGTTACTGGAGTGTGCATAGTAAATTGTGATAAGTTCTTTTGTGATACGTAATCCTTTATGTCGCGAAAAAAAAAGATGTATATATCACCAGGGGATTTCATTAAAGATAAATAAAATCCCCTGATGAGCGAGTACTCACGAAACAGGCTTTTAGGGATGAAAGTCTCTCTTTTCCCCCTATCTCAATATATATCGCGCTCCACTTCTACGTATCGAACACTGTGCTACGGAAAAATTGAAACACAGACTTCCTATATATCTATATATATGTATATGTATTTCTCATTTCATATAATACTATGGGATTTTGAATGCGGCCGATTGGAAGAATCCTAAGAAATTCAGGGCTAAATTGGATCCTGAAGCTTTAAGGCTTCTTTAAACAGTATTTAAAGGCCTCGTCCTAACTTCGATTTTGGTTTTTTCAAATGCTACTGAAGAACAACAAGCATGGATCGATTCCATTTTAGAGATGTTACATTGATTAGATAAACGCAAGTTATAACTGTAAAGTGATTCTGCTGGGCAGAACATAAGCAAAGAAAAAAAATCGACCCGTCGACAGTCAAAACACTATTTTTTTGACGTTTTTGACATAAAATTTCTCTAGTAGAACCGGTTTCGTTAGATCATGACCGTAAAATTCTAAATCATTAAAAGGATCATTGTTAAATATAGACAGAAGCAGATGTGTTAGAGTCAACTGCTAGTATTGCGGTGTTTTTTATGCCAGAAAATTAAAATACTTGAGGTTTACTTTGTTTGTCTTCTATTCATGAACTAATTGGAGGCCTTGAGACATGACGTAAGACAGGGCGGTTAAAATATAATTAATACAAATTAAAATTTAAGTTCAAAACTCGGACTATGCTAATAAACTTTTATCAGACTATCATTAACAGCGTCTCTGATCGAATTACTGACAGGAACCTCTCAAGGCTATCAGAAAATGTTGCGTGTCATAAAGGTCATGTTTCATATGAAAATAAATTTTGAATTCATGGGTAAAATTACGGAATTTCATCCAAAGCTTTCTATCTTTTTCCAATAGGCTGGCCAAAGGAGCCTAACCGAAATCTTAAGAGCTATTTTTTAACAACAAGAAAATTGGGTATGATCAACTGGGTTGATAATGTAAATTGGCCACCGTTCAGGGTTTCTTAAACAGTGAAATTTCGAGCGTTAGCCCTTCCCTTTCTTAGCCTTTCGTTCGAAACCTCTCAGCCGACGCAGCAGCACATGCAGTTTCTTTAGAAACTAACCCCTTTATTGCATAATTATCCGATCTCGGATAGGCAAGTTGTCTTACTCAACTCAGTTGATAACCCACTTTATTGTTTTTTTAGAGGGCACGGTAACGAATCCTGCAATCTGATTGGTTCTTTACCCGGTCAGTATTTTCCTATCTCTGCCCACGGGCCACGGTAACGCTTTCGTGAGTCGCCGAGTACATCCCAACTTTCGTTGTCATTTTTCATAAATATACCTCGTTTTCCGGCTGGGCAGTATTTTAAAGCAAACAAGTCGGTCACTACCTCAAGCCGAGAAATAACTTATGAATCCTCTCTTTTCTCTCTCTCAAATCACTTTGGTTGACAGAAAAATATTGGTTTCAGAATGAATTTGTATAAACAATAGTGTCATTACGTTGGTTGACAAGCGGCCTAAAAACTGTCTGCAATTAATTTTAATCGTTCACAAAAAGTACCCAGAAAGTTAAAACGTGAGGTATTTGGTTACAGTTAAACTGAACGATGGAACTTTCATTAATTTAACATCTGAATTTTCTCGAGAAAATTGTTAGTAGAGAAAGAGCGAGCAAAGTTTTAATTTAAGTTCTACAACAAATATAGGCTCCCGGTGAGTCTTTCCAATTCCGTTCAATTTGGACATTTGTACCGTAAATTACACAACAGAAACTGAAGGAATTTTTTGAGAAAAGGCCGCATTAAATTCCCTTCTGTCTCGTTGGAGTGTGCCGTTCCAATTTAGTTTTTGTGAAGGAAAGACCAGATTTACACACGCCATTGCAGCAAACAAACGAGCAAACTCTCACAACTTCAAAATAAAAAGATTGAATTTACTCACAATTACTTTCCTCGCCGTTTACTTAATGAACAGAGGTAAATCTTCGTACATGAATGAATCGTCGATGAGAGTGAATAATACTATCCGTTAGATCATTGACTGATTTTGAAGAAAACATTGTCGTGACAGTCCTTGCCAAACTAGTTCCGTTGTTTTTTAAATGCTCTTATGCTTTTTTTTTTTTTACGCGCTCTCTAATTGACAGGTGTCAGATTGTGACAGATACTTGTAAAAATAATGTTTCAAAGTTTGTTTGGAAGCCTTTTAAATCACCTTTATCGTTACGGAAATGAAAATGTTTCGCTGAGGCATCTCTCTTTAATTTGCATCACCTCTATTTTAACTACCATTTACTCGCTCAAAAATTGTTCAGTTTATGGAAGATCTTGTCGTATTTTCAGCCCTAAATCATTCGGGTTCTTTGGGAAAGAATTTCGTCAAGTTTAAAAACAATAAATATGTTATTTGCCGGCTAAGGGTCGGTCCGTATGATGAAAAACTGTGACCTCGGTCTTGAAAATGCTGCCCTCGGCCTACGGCCTCGGGCAGTATTTTCAAGACCGAGGTCACAGTTTTTCACCATACGGACCTCCCAGCCGGCAAATAACATATATTTATGTTGATAATTGTTAATTAACTGGAATTTTCGTAAAGCTGAAGTTTCGAGCGTAAACCTGAGTCGCTGCGTATTTACCTGCAAACGCAATACAGCAGTTTCTTTAGAGTTCAGATGTAAGTCCATAAAAAAGCGGAGTTTAATTTTAAGATTGCCTTGTTTTCGGTTTGTAAGTGAGATCGAAAAAGGTGTTCTGTTGGCTATTCATGTAAAGTCATGTCAATTTGGCTCGAAACGTTTGAAATCGAGCTGATCAGCGGTGAAACTTTTATTTCGAATGTGCAGCAGTTTAAGTCAAAATTAGTTAAAATAACTGCTCCATACATTTTACAGCTTGATTTTTTACTAACCAAACCCACTCAAGTCATCGGTTTTGATTTTCTATTCAACTTTGTGTTTTTTTAGTTGCTGGATGGAATTCGTCTTACCAGTTGGTGACTCCTTCGATGACCCTTACCAGCAAGACACTTGTAAAATTGCAAACTACTCAACACGTTTTTACTTCTTCTGTGGTTGTGGAAGGTTTTTCAACTTCTTCGATGACTTCTGACATTACATTATCACTTGTACGATGGCAAACTCCTCAACGGGTGACTGCTTCCGTGGTTATGAAAGCCTCTGCAAAATTACCAACCAGTCCTCGACACAGCAGTGAGTCACCTTTACCAACGTTTACTGATCAGCCGTCTTCTACCTGCGTTTGTCCAAGCTCATCAGCTGTTTATTCGTCCATGAAGCTTCCTGAGTCTTCCCCAGTAAATTACTCTCAAATGCCCTATTCTCCGGCTGAAGTAAATGCCACTCAGATCTACAATTTAAATGGTACACCGACAATCAGCATTATTTTTTTTGGTGTAGTAAGAACTGCACGTTTGACCAAATAAAAACACGCACATACAAGACTCTTTATTTTGAAATGAAAATTTCAAATGACGTCTAAATGTTCCATAAATGTCTTACTATCCTTAAATTTAACGAGTGGATATGAAACTGAATGTGTATGTAGGTAAGCCTAAAGCTCCTATGATTTGATGCGTTTATGAACTTCATAGTTCTTCACGGCTTTCCCTACCTTTAAGAAGAAATATGCTCGTTAAATTGATCAGAAATTTTTATCATCCGTGTCAAAACAATATAGAGATTAAGTTATCATAATTCACAATTAAAATTAATTATGCCGTAAGATCACCTGTAGTCTTAAAGAATAAAATTTTTTTTAAGCCCCAGCATTACTGGACTGTCGTCGTCACCTAAGAAGCTTCGTTTAGGATGTTTACATACAACCTTAGAACCATTTTTTTAGGCTTTATGCTTAGTATTACATGGACGCTAAATAATTTTTCTTCTTTTATGTTTATTTAGCCTCGCAATTCCAAAGTCAAGGTGTAATATCTACGACACGTCTATTTTCAAAGCAGACCCAATTGGCCACCTGCGTGTGTCCGTCCGTGAGCGAGTCTATGATTCCTGCACAGTCATCGGCGGCGCCAGAGGGTGAGTATCAAATTTCTTTAAGCCGTCATGTTTACATTTCTGTCTTTTCAAAGCCTGCAGTCCCTGCAGCGTGAAGGAGGGGAGGGAGGGGAGGGAGGGGGAGGGGTGCATCAGCCCACCATCTCAGAGAATATAAAACAGCCGGTTGAGGTAACTTGTTAGACTGTGGGTTTTGGGTTACAAACTTTCGGCAGCCTGTTCTTGTTTTACAATAAAAGTCATATTTCTACACCAAGACTGCGTGCAGGGAGTTGCATAAAACATATTTGGACAGTTTTTTCTCAGCACTTTAACCCGAAGCTTATGAGCTACAATTTGAAAAATTGCCGCACCGTTCCCGCGATTATGATGCATTCAACTAGTAAGTTATGGCGTCTACGCGATGTAAAATTTTCAGATTTTTCAACTTAACAATTTTTTCCCTTGTATTTTAGCAACACAAAGTCCGACAGGAACAACTCCGAGGCGTAAGTACTGACATCAAAACCAGAAAAAATAAATCAAAAGACAATCTTAGAAATGAAAAAAAAAAAAACAAAAAGCAAAACAAAAAGCCAGGAATTTAAAACATAAAGTCTTTTTGCGCGAGAAATGGATTTAGAAAAAAAGTTCGAATGTACTATGGTTCTATTTAAAAAAATGTATTGAAGCCCTATGATAATTATATTGCCATGTAATTGCATATTTTTCCATTTCTCCCTAATTTTTTTAGCGCACACGACAAAGCCACCGGCTACAAGTAAGTGCCGTCATTAGTAATATAAAAACAAAAAAAATCACGTTAGTGGTAATTTTTGGGGTAACATGAAAAAAACTGATCTATATACAAAAACAGATAACAACCATTTAGAATTATATCTTGCCTCAAGCTATTTACAAAATATCAAAATCCACGGGTATACAATTTTTAAATCTAGTTTTTATCCTCTCTAAATCTTCTCTTCGCGTGCTATATAACTCAATAATACTTTCATACCTTAATTATTATAATTTAGTCTGAGGATCAAGCTGAAAAAAATCTTCATAGAGTTGTAATTTTGCGAATAATTAGGAGAATAAACAAGTCCAAATGAGGCACATACGGGTCCCTTTTTTCAAGAAACTTGACTTTAATTTCAAAACATTCATTTGGTACAGTTCGTTCAGTTCATGTTCTTTATAAAAAGGACTTTCCCCCTTCGAAAATTTGAAAATATACTCATGAAAAACAACCAAATCCACGGCTACAACACAAGGCGTGCAAGCTCCTTTCGTTTGTCATTATGTGTGACAAATATTCCGCAGTTTTCCGTTTTCTATAAAGGTCCAAAGTTTTCCAACTCTCTAACTTTTGAGATCAATGGCTTTTCATCCATTGCATCCTTTAGAAAAATAAAGGTTTAAAGTATATATAATCAATAAGTACTAATTTTCCTTTTATATAAAATTATTATACCTAAGCTTAATCTTTGTTTTTGATGTGTGTTTTCCTTACCAATCACTGGGAACTGCAATCATTGTAACAACGTCATTTTTTTCCATTTGTATTAATTTTTCCATTTGTCCCTTATTTTTTTAGCGGACATAACAGAGCCGCCTTCTAAGAGTAAGTACCTTCATCAGTAATATGAAAACAAACAACGTCATTTTTTGCCAATAGAACCTCTCAAAAATTGTTCAGGGCATGACATCGTTTAACATCTATCTCAGTCAAACATCGAGTGCCGATATGGAATCCTTCCTTACTCATCAGCTGCTCTAGATTATAGATAACGCTTTCCAAACTATTTTGTGTTTTCCAAACTAGCGTTTTCCGCCAAAAATGGCTTATTTAGGATTAAATTTAGTGTCAATTACGCAAAAATACCTCAAATTACACCTTTTTTTATAGACCTAGAGGAAGGGTGACCTCAAAGTGGCACTATCTAGGCAGAAAGCACGGAAATGTCTCATAAATGATAGCACCAGAGATACTTCGATTTTCACGGAGAAAGGAAAAGAGTCGTTTCAAAAGGGCAAAACTTTGTTTAATTCAACGGACAGTTATATGTCAAAGCATTTTACCCATACAAACATTCCATTTTCCACTGCATGGTTTGTTAAACATGATGAAAGTGCCCAAAATTCTCGGAACGTTTAATATATGAACAATAAAGTCTATGATTTTAACACAATATTTAAAAAATCTGATAACCCGGTTTATTTAAAATTCTGCATTGGATAACTTCAAGTGCTGCAGAAATTCTGCACGATGTACCGTCAAGTGGTGCAGAAATTCTGCACGATGTACCGTCCAGTGTTGCAGAAATTCTGCACGATGTACCGTCAAGTGGTGCAGAAATTCTGCACGATGTAACGTCAAGTGTTGCAGAAATTCTGCACGATGTAACGTCAAGTGTTGCAGAAATTCTGCACGATGTAACGTCAAGTGCTGCAGAAATTCTGCACAATGTAACGTCAAGTGCTGCAGAAATTCTGCACGATGTACAGTCAAGTGGTGCAGAAATTCTGCACGGTGTAACGTCAAGTGTTGCAGAAATTCTGCACGATGTACCGTCAAGTGGTGCAGAAATTCTGCACGATGTAACGTCAAGTGTTGCAGAAATTCTGCACGATGTAACGTCAAGTGCTGCAGAAATTCTGCACGATGTAACGTCAAGTGTTGCAGAAATTCTGCACGATGTACCGTCAAGTGTTGCAGAAATTCTGCACGGTGTAACGTCAAGTGTTGCAGAAATTCTGCACGATGTAACGTCAAGTGATGCTGAAATTCTGCACGATGTAACGTCAAGTGTTGCAGAAATTCTACACGATGTAACGTCAAGTGATGCTGAAATTATGCACGATGTAACGTGAAGTGCTGCAGAAATTCTGCACGGTGTAACTTAATTTGCTTTGACTTCTGTTTATTTATGGACATTTGCTGTTAGATATTATGTTGTGCTTTATTTTTCAACAGCTGTTAAACCGACTGCCCCTCCTATTGATAGTAAGCAGTTATAGTTTCTTTTATAATTAGTTTTTGTTTTGACTATATTCTCCCTTGTATTTGTTGCGCCTCCTTAATTTAATGGTTTGCAACGGTAACTAAACTGTGTATAAATGCAAATGAATTTCATGTCTAGAAAGAATTAGCTAATTGCACTTTTTCAGAAAATTTAATTGAATTACCACTTTCTCTCTTAAATAAAACCAGTTTGTCATTTAGAATAATCTCTTGTTTGATAACTATCCTGAATACAATTCTCCCAGTCCCTATTGAGTTGAAATGAACCTGCGTATACACGGTAAACCTCCCTAATGCTCTATTATTTGAAGTTCACTCTTTCGTTTACTTTTTCAATTCAAAGCGAGCAACATGTATCCGTTTGGCCCTCAGCAGAATGACAGCGAGTTTCGTCTCGATTCACGGTATTATTTCTCCCGGCGGTGCTTACGAATAAATACAGACTGGAAGGGATTCCCCTTCTTCTCGGGGAGACATTATAAACTGCATGTAAGTTCTTGTCGATGATCTTCATATGTGTTACGTTATCGTCGTACTCGTTGTATTTTCTTAGTACCACAAGCATCATATACTCCATGCAAAATGTTATATTTTTCTTTGCTGCTTTATTTTCCAGCCTTAAAACCTATAAAAAAACTCAATTTCTTCAACTAAGTTTAGTAAACGTCAATTTTACTTAACTTTTCACTATGATTGGTCCAGAAAACTCGCGCTATCCTCTCAACCAATCAGATACAAAACTAACTAACAATCGTGACTCGGTCATCTGCGTTTTCTTGCAATCCAAGCAGTCTCCTTGCTTTCACTCATGAGTTCTCATTGGCCAATAATGATGTAACCCTTTGTTCTGCTTAGTCGCTGGGAAAAATTTGATTTTGGGGTTTCAACACTCAATTGAAAACTTGCTTTAACTTGTTAGCAATGTAATGTTATCTCAAGGCTGTACTTTAAGAATTAGATTTGCCATTCGTGTGTAATGCTAGAGAACACCCTAGGGTTTGCATACATCTGTAAATAATCATAACGTACAAATGTATAAAATCAACCTGCAAAAATATGATTATCCGCTTTATGATCGAGCTGCCTGATTGTGTTCCGTCATTCTTTGTCTCGTAGATATGCCGCGACGGTAAAATCCAACTGAACTATGAGTGGAGCTGGTGGTGGCCGCAGAAGTTTGGTATCTACCGATGGTTCAGAAATATGGCTGTTATTGCACCTTTCTGGGCGACGACTGATACTTACTTTGCCTTCAAAAAAAACCATTCCAGGGTGTATTATCAAATATACGAAGAAAATAAGGAAAGTTCCAAAGATACTCTTGCTATGGCTACAAAAAACGTAAGGCAGTACATTGAAGGATTTTCCAAATTTCAGGCCTCCTGGGTCCTTGTAGTGACTTGGGAGAATCTCTGTCCGTACGTCTATTATCCATACTACTATTACTATTATGGAGACCAGGAAATTGAGTTAAACTGTCGCTGGGTAAGTAAATAGGTGTGGTTGATCAAACTAGTCCATACTCATTCTTATTACATACTAAAACAGTGGATAGCTTCGAAGGCGCGCTCTGATTGTCTACTCAAAATTCAATTTGAAATATTGTTTGCTATTCACCTTCGGACATTCACGCGCGGGGTTTACGCCCTTAAATATTGTAATCGTTGCGGGAATAAATGAGTTGAAATCACATTTGTGTGCTATTTTACTCCACCGCTTTGCAGGGCGGTAAATGTCACAACTAGTCAGCTCCACTTCGGTGAATAGTTGTTTACTATTCTAGCTGCTGTTCACTTGAAGTCTTAATTACGATTACAATGCAGTTCACACTAGTGTCCAGGCTTAGAGAGACCAGCCATTTTTCACTCTTTATAGTTCACGCGCTTCGAATAAATATTCATGAAAAATTGAAAAAACAAATAGATTGATAAAACTAGCAAATATAAACCACAAAGAAACCAACAGCAACAAAGAAATAGGAGAAATATTTCTCTCCTGTAGATTTCAATATCTTTTTTTATAATAAATATTGCATTATTTTTATATCTCTCCCCTTCCTAAAAATCTCTTTGTTATTTAGTGTAAGTAGGTCAGTTGATGTAAGCTTCAATTTTTTTTTTCAGAGCAACACATTTCAAGCAGTTATAATAACAAATGGATTTAATACGTTCTTGATGTACAATTACCCTTATAATGGTATTCAGTGGGTGGTTCCTGCAGATCAGTAAGTTTCTTTTTTTAGCCATTTTGAAATACATAATTCTAGTGTATTGTAATGACTTACAATTTCCATGATAAACCTTTCTTAAACTTAACGAAGCAATTAATGTTAGCTTCTGAAATCTTGCAATCCAAGACTTGCATAAAAAACTCTCGCTTCGCAAGGGCTGACATGTTCGAAAAACGGCTTAGCCGGCGGTTCTGTGAGCTGTTTGAATCGTCGAGCCGAGGAGTCACAAGAAGTCTGGAAAAGAAAATTGAGAGAGTTCCACAACTCGTTTTCGAGGCAACTGGGCCTTTATTTTCACCACGTACCCACGACACCGTCTGATACGAAGGCTGAGATTGGCTTCAATTACAAAATAGCCTTATTAAATATAATCATGTACGTTCTTTATCAAACACTGACTACCACCTTTTTTTCCTCACAGTTCTGATTACCGTTACTGGACTGGCTACTATGGTCTACCTGTTGCTGGGTGGAACGCAGGGAATGATGGTCAGGATTACTTGAACATTGAAGGGTAAGGAAATTGCATCAGGAGGTCTATGACGATCTTTAATCATTTTCCTTGAAATACGAACTTTCTAATACATCTTTTTTTAAATTGATTTACACTTTTTGGTTTTTTTAGATCCGGAACTTTGTTTGGAATGTATAATCTCGATAAACAAAAAGGAAATACGGGATCACCTGGAAAATATTTCTGGAGGATCGAGAATAGCATGGAAAAAGACTCATTAGACAAGTGCATAGCTTGGAGTATGCGCCAAAGAGAATTAAACATGCGTGATAGGTACGATGAACTGATACGCTCAGACTGGCGGATGGCCTGTCCTTGTACGGAATGGCAAGCCTGGTTAGATTGGGGAAGATTCTCTTGGGATTGGTGGTCCTCTTGGCCTGATTGGTGTTACGAGTCCAGGCGTGTCAAATTCATTCCCTTTCCAATGAATAGTAATATCAGGGGTTTTACTGTGAGACAGCAGTGTTGTTACTCAACTAGCTGGGAGGACTGGGGCTCTCTCAAAGTTGGTCCTCCTGATGGCGGACACGTTAAAGTGACAGCAGTTGATGACTGGTTTAATCAGGTTGAAGAGATGGAGGAAATGTACACAGACCGGCAGGCTTATCAGTTTTGCTGTGTTGATACACATATGTGTGAGCATTTCTATTTCTACCGTCCGTCTGATCACTGCTCCTTGTATAGGCCGCCACCAAGACGTAAGTTTATAAATTAGCAATGACAATGGATATTCCACCATGGGTTCTTCTTGTCCACTGCTTCTAGGTCAAATTGGCATTGGAATGTTAATTTTTTTGGAGGGAGGAAAACCGGAGGAACTGGAGAAAAACCCTTGAGGCATGGATGATAGTCAACAACAAACTCAACCGATATGTGATACCAGATCACACGTGACATCAGGTCCGGGAATCGAACCCCTGCCACAGTGGTGGGAGGCGAGCGCTCTCACCACTGCGCCAGCCCTGCTCCCCTGTCGAGTCTCATCGTTTCTTTGTTCTAGCTGCTTCTAATATATCCAGACCGCCGGTCCGTTATGTGATCTCACACGTTGGTTGTTGAAAGATTATTAACAAGAAGGGCGTCGACTATTTCCTGAGTTCATACTTTGTCACGACAGTCGGTATAACAATCGACTTTGGCACAGTTGCAGAAAAACTGCGTTCCATCTCTAGCATTCAACGGAACCTTGAAAAAGATTATATCAGGGCCCGAAACTTACAAAGCAAAAAGTAACTGACTTTTTCTCCCTTCCAGCAACAACTCGTTAATTTGAAATATTTTAATACGTGGAATAAAACATCATCGCTATTTGCTTTCGGTATGTTTTTGAGAATTTTCTGTTACATTTTTAGGTTGGTTCTGGGGTGATCCTCACATTAAAACATTAGATGATAGAAACTATACTTTCAATGGTCTCGGTGAGTTCGTCATGGTGGACGCAAAAGAGGGACAATTCCAACTTCAGGCCAGAACAAAACTTGCTCAAGGGAATACCACGAAAGCAACTATTTTCTCAGCCGGCGCAGCTAAAGAAGAAAATACCAGCGCAATCGAAATACGGGTAAAGCCTGAAGGTAAGGATACTGTTATGCATTTTACATAACTTACAAGAAAAGAATGTCTCGTTTAATTGGTAAATAAATTGTTCACTGCAGGGTTAAAATCTGCCTTGAGAGAGTTTGGATGGTTTTTTGATGCATTACTCACTGACTCAGAATTTTACATGTTATTAAACAATTTGAAAATTAACAGTTAATAACATAAAAAAAAATAAAATAAAATAAGGAGGAGGATTAGCAGGTTATGATCTCACACGTGGTGTTAGATAAAAATTAACGCCAACATCCGTAGAAAGCAGTCCTAGGACTTGTGAAGGCGCAGCTTGACTTTCATATTCTTCACTTTTAGGAGGACTGGACATTTTGTTAGACAGGCAACTCTACCACGGCTACAACAACCTAACAAACAAAAGTATAGCAATCGGTGGAAATCTCTTTGCTTCAATACCAGAGAAAAACTGTTTACAGGTTTCCTTTCCCTCAACAACATCCGTCAACTTTTGTGTGAAGAAAGAAATGTTGTCGTTTGTTGTGAGTCTCGGTGAGGATTTCAAAAACACCACCAAAGGACTGTTGGGAACGTGGAACGATAACCCGGATGATGACTTCACAAGGCCTGATGGGACTGTTTTGGAGTCATTTTCATTAAGGGAAATTCATTTCTCGTTCGGTGTTAAGTGTAAGTATCCCCATACAGGCTTTCTTGCTTTTCCTTTTTAAGTGGGAAGCCCTTAAATTCAAAAGTTTGTTTGAATTGAAATCTTTCACCTCTATTTGAACCTAGAGATATACTAAATATCTTACTAACCTCGTACTACAACTTATGGAAACCCGTTTTGTCCGCTCGGATATATTTAAGCGTAACTTACAGAACGGACCTCGAACTCAGACATTTCTAAGACGCAAAAGTTGAGAGATCTTTTCTCAAGAAATTTTTTTCATTTTATGTCTTTTGTCTGTAGCCCTAAGATGTGGCAGTTGATCGGTTGATCCTAATGCGTACCGGAAGTAGTCGGATAAATTATTTTACTATCTCCATCCGCTTACCAAAAACGTATGTGCCTTAGTTGCATTACAAAGTCATTACAACCTTACAAGTTCATTATAAGTCTTCCACGCTATTCTTTTCAGGGCAAATTAACCAGTCCCAATCTTTATTTACATATGGTGACAATGAAAGCGTGGCTAGTTTTTCGAAACCTGATTTTGAGCCTATGTTTGCTGATAACATTAAGTGGCATAATGACAGTTTAAGAGAGAAAGCTGAAGATCAATGTGGAAACGATCACGAATGTCTGTTTGACGTGGCTTCCACCAACGACTTGTCTGTTGGCTTGGTAACCAAAGATATCAGCATTCAGCTGGTGAATGAGACAAACAAACTTGGTAAGTATTTGAATTTGTCATATATCTCCTGCTTGCAACATAAATTCGATCAGAAAAAAAACTCGGTCGTAACTTACAGTACAGACCTCAACTCGGTTAGTAAGAGGTGTGTATTGAGAAGCACAGATTTTTATCATGAAAACAAAAACTGATTTTCAAGATCATGTTTGACAAATATTTGAATTTTGCGTAATATTCCCTTTCGCGTTTAAAGCGAATTGATGAAAAGCATCGACTTAGGCTGCTTTTTTTTTCTATTAAACTTTAACCTGATACTTCTTTTTGGAGACAATCGTATTCCAAATGTAGTTTTTTGGTATCGAAACATTTTTAATGAGTTAAAATTGATAAAATTTTTGAATGTTGACAATATTGCATAAAGATGTTGTAATCAATGGGGATTCCCGACAATGCAGCACAGTATCAGAATCCATCAGAATTTGTTTCTGTTTTCAGCCTCTTGAATTAACTTCTAATAGATTTTTATGCGGATCCAATTTATCTGTAGCATTTATTTAACGATTACATTCAGTTGTTAGGCGTTCACTTTTCTTTTTCACAGACAACTTCCCGCCCAAAATAGAGACTGCTTCGAATGCGATAAATGCGACCCTTGGTGATACAGTTCACTTGAGCATCAGGGCTGTCGATAATGACACGATTGCGTTTCGCGTGATTAACAGTCCTGAAGGGGCTACTTGGAACCAGACTGGTAACTTGTTAAATTTCACTTGGCGTGTTACAACATCAAGAAAGGTATGCTTGCAAACATTTTTTCTCTTTTTAATTAGAAATTATTTATCATCTCATCAAAGTAACTGATACAGTCTGTAAAGTTTTACCTTTCGCTTCGAGAAAATCCGTCATTCTTCATTTTGCAGCGTAACGTATAGGTTACTTGGTCAGATAGATCTAATCATGCCAATTTGGTGTAACAATAGTTTCTTTACACTTTGACAAAGTCTTTTGTGAGGGAATTCAAGAATTTTATCGCGCTTTAAAATGCAAACTGCACAGAAGGCGCGAGAAATTAGTTGAATGTACTTCTCTTATTAAAGCCTTGGCATTTGAAACGCGAAAGAGGGTGCATTCCTTGTTTCAATCTCCTCAAAATTAGGAACTAACTTTTCCATGCGATCGCGGGTTATCTGAGTCTCTGCCACGTTATTTTTCTAATAGGAGCTTACTCGTTTGAATAAGAGCTTAATACCGTCTGAAATCTCCCTTTGCAGTTCAACCTTACTTTCGTTGCTTTTGACGACAAAGGCGCAAGTGCCAGTTGGAGTCCAATTATTAACATGTGTGCCTGTAAACATGATGGTCAGTGCGTAAAGCCAGAAGAGGGCGACACAGCCAACTCTGACAGCAAGTTTGTATACATGGGTTGTGCATGTCAGGGAGGATACACAGGAAGGTTCTGCGAGAGCGACATTGACGCCTGCGAAATGAATGGTCGGCCGTGTTACGCGGGAGTTAAGTGCATTGATCTTCCTGCACCAGCCAATTCCAGTGGATATAAATGTGGACCCTGTCCATCAGGATACACTGGAAATGGAGCTCAATGTGCTGGTGGGTTCTTTCACCTTTTCCAGGGATGAAGTTGAATTCTGGACAAAGATAAATTCAGTGACTTGCTCGCGCTAGCACACGTGAAAACATCTCGCAACCTCCGGAGGCAAATTTGAATCATATGCGATTAGCGAAAGAAAGACGTTGTGCATTTTAAGCCTTCTGCTTTCGAATAACCTCACTACTATAGCTATCGTTGTGTGGAATTTCAAATAGGGACTCTGATTGGTCAAGAAGCTATCGTACTCAGAATGTTGACAGAATACCTTAACTGCATAAAGGAATGGTCTTCGGCTCATTAGTTATAGGCTTCTCTTCTGTTCCCTCGAAATCTTGACTTAGTTCTTTCACTTCGGAAGATTCTGGTCAGCCCATAGAAAGTGTAACCTACTGCTCTAATAATCACTAGTTTAAATTACTTACTTCAGGAGATGCAACACCCTGCAGATAACCAAGTCGAGAATTCCTTATGATCCTTCATCTTACACACAAAGACTCCAAAAGAACGATTAACCTCTATGAGTGACTAACATCTAATTTCTCCTGATAATATCATCCTTGAATCATGCAGTGAGGTCATGAGAATTAAGAAAATTATCAGCAGGTAAAGAAGTTGTTGATTGTTATACAAATTCTCCTTGTCAGCACCTTAGGGAATGTATAGAGAACAGTATGGAGAATATGCATACTGATGTTAGAGTGTAAAGGGTTAATGATAACTTGAACGTTCAGACAATTTTTACCCAGTGGTGTACATTACTGATTAACTGACGCTAAGCACTATTTTTCAGACATCGACGAATGCCAAAATAAGTCGAGGATTGACTGTGATCAGCTCTGTGTCAATCTGCCAGGTTCCTACTTCTGTGATTGTTACAGCGGATACAAACTGAATGCTGATGGCGGCACGTGTGACGGTAAGCCATCTAATTGCTTTAATTCCCGTCCAATTACTTCAAGTCCTGTTCAATTACTTTAAATCCTGTGCTGCTTTATCTTGGGTATACGCATGACCCAGAGATGGAATTGAATTTTGTGGAGTAATTTTCTCCCGATTCCGATTGATTTTTTATGAAAGAGGAGTCAGGAACTGGCTTACAATTAACCCTGATGAACTTCTTACGCATTATACGTTACCATGAGTTCCTCTAAGTGTGTGAACGGTTTTCACCTTATTCAAACTTTTACGCGTTTACTGTTTGTGTGTTCTCTAGTCCATTATTCAAAAAGACCGTAATGTTAGGTACAGCTGTGGTCAACGTGAAAGATATTCTTTCATTTGCTTATAGATGTTGACGAATGCCTGCCAACAAACGATTGTATGCAGAAGTGTAACAACACACGAGGAAGTTACAACTGTTCATGCGACGATTATTTTCAAGTTGATCCCAGTGATCTAAAGAAGTGTGTAGGTGAGAAATAAAGTGTTTGTGAAAACATTACTGGCTTCATCCTTGGGAAACGTAGCCACCCGATGGAACGCGCACTGGGTCTCTGATCCAAGGGTCTAAGTTCGAAACCTAATCAAGTCAACTTGTTGTGTTCTTGAGTAGTGATTCCACTCTCAAAAGTGCCTCTCTCCACCCAAGAGTAAAAATGGTTGGCAGCGAACCGCTAAGAAGATTTGGGAATAATATCACGGGTTGGCCTGCTATACTCGTAATGAGTTGCAGCTGGATGAGTAATTGGGTCGTAGGCCAACTTCCTTTCTTTTTAGCGGGTCTCAAAGATATAAGCCGTTAGCAGTAAAACGGCTTAGAGACTTAACTGGTAGCAAAAAAATGTAAACTGTTTTAAAATGGGGAAAAGGGACTTCTAATTAATTCGTTCATTTCATCAATGAAAACGACACGTTATCAAGTTGTTATCATATTTACAAATAATTCCATCTAATGTCAATGTGAATTATTTTCTTATGCAGCCAAAAAGGCTTGTTCTGCTGCCAATGGCTGTAAACATGTTTGCTTCAAAGGGGACGATGATGAACTTAAATGCGCGTGCTATGCTAATTATGAGCTGGAGAGTGATGGCAAAAGTTGTAGAGGTATTAAGAAATGTTGTGACTGTGAATTTCAATATGAGTTTACAGCGAAATATATGCGATAAAGTTGACTCCTCGTAATGTTCAAGCAAGAGAGGTTAAAAATATAAGATTTCCTTCGCTTTTCAACTGAGCGTTGTTAAAGAAAAATCACAGTAATCCCAAAGGTCAGTCAGAAGAAAGGAAAATAATGTTGCAAACGGTACCTCTCATTTCACACCGGTTATTCTACCTCGCACCTTGCGTTTCACACTTCGCATAACACACCTTATACTTCACATTCACACCTCCGACGTTACTTACTTCGAGTTAGTTTTGTTCTTGTCATCCTCACCCGACCTGTATATCTGAGTTCTGCTATCATCTCATCAACCAGAAGGCCATCTTTTAATGTCTTTGCTACTCACTTCAATTTTCAGATATCAATGAATGCGACCCTTCGAATCCCCGTCATCGCTGCAGTCAGATCTGTAAAAATACACCAGGGAGTTATAGCTGCTCTTGTGAAAAAGGATTTGAAATAGCCAAGGATGGTTACGATTGTGAAGGTTGATAACAAAACTTGTGCTTAAATTAAACAGCTGTTTAATTGCAGCAGTTTATGATTTACTTTTTTATGTTTCTTTTGATTTCTAATTGCTATTTGTACTTTTTTAATCAGATATTAACGAGTGCCTTGAAGTGAGCTTGTTCAACTGCACGGATGAGTTTCACAAATGCATTAACACTCGTGGCTCTTACAAGTGTGAATGTGATCAAGACTTGTACTTTATCAACGGAAAATGCAGAGGTAACGACTGCAAAAAATGCGTCTTTCTGTAACTTGATTCAGGATCAGGATTAGGATTCGAACTTGAACAGAGAACTGAATGAAATTGTAATAATGAGGATGAAATTTCATTCCAGTCCTCGACAATTTTTATGTAAGATGGCCTTGAATAGTGTGCTAATGAATATGATTTTATGAAACCATGAAACCGCATGATATGCGGGGGCGTAGGCAAACGTAGATGAAATGGTTATGTACCAACTTTAAGCAATTTGACATACGTTATATTCACGCTATGATAATACCTTTTTTTATTTTTTGATATATCGTCTTTCCTTGAATAAGCGGCCAGGCGCTTACATGGAATTTAAGCTAAAAGGAGAGTCACTTATTGGAAGGAGAGCGTTTAATCGAGGGGGACACTTATTATTCTACTTAACTGATTGCGCTGTAGTTGAAGCTTAAAATGTAATAAATAAATTGGCAGTAGAAACGGCTTTTTTCGTATCCCTTCTATTTGAGAAATGAAGGGAAGAAGGAGGGGGAAGTGGGGGGAGGACGCTTGTTCGGACAACGCTTATTAGAGTTTGAACAGTTATTTGAGGAAATACAGTATTTGTAATCGGATGTTGTCCATTATTTTCTTTCTAGGTCTGGAGAAGAATGAGACAGCTCCAAAGCCAAAGTTACAAAAACCACGCAGACCTTCAAACAAGGAAAAAGAGGAAGCCGTCCAGTTCTCAATTGAACGTAAAAATGGGGTGAGTACGATCATATTACCGATGGACTTTTTGAGAATTTCATGCAATCGAAGATGATGAAGCTGAAGAAGTCGCCAACATGCAGGCAACTTGACATCCCTAGGGACCAATTATTTTTTATTGCCTGGGGAGGAAGTCACAATTAAATAATCTGACCCCCTCCTTAGGTTACGCTTTATTGTAATGACCTTCTCCCCCTCCCCCCCTTACTGGCGGTCAATTTCTTATAGTCCCCCTTCTATACTCTTGAGCGACTGACTGGCTCCCTCTGTCCCCCCCTAAAAACCATGTGATCCCCCCCTTATTTCAACCCCCCTCCCCTCCCTGACGATAAATAATAACTAAGCCCCAAAGTGATACGTTTTCGTGGTCTGTTTGTAGTTTAAATGGGATTTCAAGACAGACAAGGATTTCAAGGAAAAGATGGCTTCTGTCACCACCATATACTGTCGTGACAACAGGACAAGATGTGCTCTAAAAGAAACAACAAGAAAAAGGTGATCATTTTAAAAGAAATTAGTCTGTACAAATGAAGGTTAATCGCTAAGTCTCCACGCCATACATGTATATGACACGTATTACAATAGATTGAGTCTGGTGTTTCTCCTTGTTCTAACTTAACTGAAGGGGGTCACGGAGTTTATCCAGATTCTCCGGTCTTCCCCTTCCCCCACCCCCCAATGAAAACCAAAAGGCCCAATCTCAACGCTGCTTTTCAGAATGAAATCTTAATACACGTGAACGTACTGCGTTTTTGTTTGTTTAGCGTTGTAGAGTATTCATAGGTCAAGTTACTTCGCACCTTGTTATAATTCAACCGTCCTTGAATGTAACAAAAAAAAAATAGATATTTACACTTTGTTTATTATTTTTTGTCCTTCTTTGCCAGACGGTCGCTCCTTTTTGATCTCTACACTACAGATCAAATCCATCGTTTGCCTGATTACCCCAAAAACTCATCCGGGCTCCTTTACATAGCGTTCTATGTTCAGCAACCTGTTGGCCAATATGTCAGCAACGCGTCAGCACTACCACGTAGAATACTGGCTCAAATTATGGTCATTCACAAGAGTGAGATTGAAGCAGCTATTGGTGCAAATATATCTGGTATAGAAGCGTGGTTTAAACCTGGCGAACCAACCTTTTCGCCAACTTTAGGAACAGCAGAACCGGCTGCAAAAGAATGGAAGTGGATTATAATTGGTGTTATTGTGGGAGGAGTGTTTCTCGTCATCGTTGTCATTATCGTTTGGAGATGGTAAGTCAAAATAACACTTTTTGGCGTCAAAACCTGTCGTCAAACCACATCTGTGGCTCAGGTTCGAATCCTAGACCTGGTGTCACATGTGGGTTGAGTTTGTTGTTGGTTCTTGTTCTTGCTCTGAGGGTTTTTCTTGGAGTTCTTGGGCTTTCCTTCCTTCCCAGAAACCAAACATTCCAAACCGCCTCGTGGGATGTCGATATCATTATTATGATTATGATTATTATTATTGGTGTTATTTTTACCATTATTTATATTATTGTGTATCAGTTCTTCCCCAGATTGGGTTGCCAGTCAATCCCCTTGCATTTCTTCAAGCTTTCTAGACAGTTTTCCGGTGCTTGTATATGATAACGATTTTAAAGAGCCTCTTTAAGGCAAAGTACGCTCCCAGAGGCATAACACAATAACCCTTGCTATGTCTTGAGCCTGATCCGTATGATCTTGAGACAAAGGCACCACATTAAAGGGGTACAACTTCCTCCTTTGACTCCTTACCTCGTGAATTCAAATGAAAATCAAGAGATTCGAATGATCAATGTGAAGCTATTCTTCAATCTATTTACTTTAGTTTGAAGAGGAAGAGGAAGGACAAAACTGTTGTGATCCCTACTGTTGTTGATGACACACCTGGAGGAAACATCGCCATGAAGAGTTATCATCAGTCTGTAGAGAGCCTGGAACCAGCACCCAGCCAGTGAAACGCTTTTTTCTATCGTAAATGTAGAAAGTAATTACCCTATAGTTGGTCACCGCTCAGCTTTCTTCCGTCCGTGTGCTAGGGAACTTTAGTTTTCACTCGGGAAAAATATTAGTCCTTAGATCAGAGACCACAATTTCAGTCGAAATCGAAATCGGTGAACCCCGTGAAACTAAAACGATTTTACAAATGTGTTTTACCACGTCTCGTGAAAGAAAGATTGTAAAATATAATTGTGTCATATCACTTAAAAACACCTTACTACACCTTGAGCTCTTCATACTACCTTATATCTATCTTATCTTAAAACTGGTTGGAAATCTTTTTTAAAAGTGGTTTATGCAAAGCCTCGGTTGTTCGAAGGCTGGATAACGCTATCCACTGGATAAATTGCCATGCAGTAGTTAAAATGAAAAGTTTTATTACACTTATCAGCTGGTTAGCGATTTATCCGGCGGTGGAAAGCGCCATCCAGCCTGTGAAAACCCGAGGCCAGAGGTGTAGTTTCTACATATGGAGACCATTTTTATCGCTAGATAATGTGTTCAAAATTGCGGTCGAGTTTTATTCGGTTAAACCGTTTCGACCTCTTCAAAAAACATTTGTAGTATGATTTCAGCTGTTTTCCGGTTCTTAACACACTTATGATTTCTCCTACGTTCCTCATATCTGGGGTTTATGAAGAGCGTAACTCGCCGTTGTCTTCTAGTTTACAGCAAGCGTCAAGTCTGGCAAATAGACTCCGCGCTAGATTTTAATGAGCCTGCGAAAACGAAAGCGATCGCTTACCACGTTTTTTTTCCAACATTTCAATCTGGCTCGATGCCCTTTTGAAGAATTAATCTATTTGAGCCAGGAACAACTCAACCAAGCTAGACAACCTGAAGCGGTCGCTTCAAATAAAATAGGAGTTTTTTAATGATCGAATTTATCTACCTATCATAGTCTTAAAAGGGTTGGTTTATTTGATTTTTTAATTTAACTCAAGGCAGTACCTGTGTCAAGCCAAGAGATCATGAATTTATAATTTCTTGGTCAAGCTCAGAGGAGCTAAATAGGTTGGGTACATATTTAAAAACTTAACAGGGGTGATCAGAATCAGTGGTGTCATAGGATTGTGCTAGTTGATAGATCGATTGACTTGTACTCAGATATTTCAAATAAAAGTCGATTTAGTCAGTATTGATTAAGGGGGGATTTGATTGATATCTTGAATGTCTTAAATTTAGCTCGCTAACATAAGTGCCGAAGCCCGTAGATAGACCTTTGCAGTTTTACTTCTAACTTATGCTAAGCGCCTGCAACTCCTAATCTTTGTTTTTTTTGTAGTTGTTAACTTTGTTGCAATTTTTTTCGATTCTGTTAAGCGGGCTGTAAATGGTTTCTTTACTTTAAAACACCAATCCTCTAATGCATCGTTTCAATCAAACGAGGAACGTTCTTAGATTTTTGAATGAGATATCTTATCATTGTGAATTTGACAAATTTAGCTTAAAGTTAATAACTTCATCATTAACGATCCTTAATCATACTTCGTCCCATTTGGTTTTCTTTTTGCTTCACAGGTGTTTGTCTACCCAGGTGAAGAATTTATTATTTCAGGTTTTTGGCGATTAATGCAGATCAGTTGATGGCTTGTAGAGGTCTAACTAATACACACCTCAGGGAGCTAGTGGGTCCCCTGCTTACAAATATTTCTTTCTATTCGTTTTCTTACATATAAATTCCGACTCAAATTAGCGCAACAAGGACTCCTTTGAGATATTATTAGCGTGCATAACAATGAGGTCCCCAATAGGGTTCTTCAATCCCGCGATTCCGACTAAAATTTTCTTTCAATCCCGTAATCCCGACGGTTTATACCGGCCAATCCCGATCCCGATCATACAATTTTGTCTAAGGTCATTTCCTAAACTTAGGAAGACCTTTTTGGTGGGAGATGATTTTCTCAACCAGTATTGATCCGTTGAAGTCTATGGTCACCGTAAGGCTTACGTTTATCCCCTTTCACTAAAATGATGATATCGATTAAAAGTTCAGCACGAATAACGTAAGCTAGTCACGGTAACGACTTTCTTTCATTAGACTTTGATCACGGACAATCATATGGGTACAGGCAGGTCAGCATCAGAGAAACGGATAACATTTCGTCAAGTGAATAAAACACAAAGTTGTTGAAGCGAGTACGTTCGGGAATGGATGCCAAGGATTTGTATTTTTAAAGAGTACGCTGCCTAATGGTTTTTTCTCATTAAGCCTTCTTTGGCTGCATTTCCAAAGTTTCTTAGGTAATCTAACACCGTGAAAAGTTTATCTTTGTGATGCACCAAAAGTTTATCTTTGTGATATACCAAACTCCAAGATGCACTGGAAGATATTTTCATACGTATTTATTTCTTTCCTCGTTGTACCAACAGTATTGTTGAATGGATTAGTGATTGCCACGATAAAGAAGACTCGTTCTTTACACACACACCTGGCAACGTTCTTCTCCTATGTCTGGCCTGTGCAGACTTCATCAACGGTCTCGTATCTGAACCGTTCACTGTCATTTACTTGTCCGGTGTAGTCGCCTAGAACTCTCGTCTATCTTGTATCCCAGGAGTTATCATGGAGTCCATCTCTTGGTCCGCGAATGGTACATAAGGAATAACTGTTGTCGCTTTAAGCGTGGATAGATTCCTTACCGTCTCTATTAGGCGCGTTACAACGAGATCGTCACAGTACCTCGACCCTCAATTTTTGTGCCAACAGTATGGCCGATGATTACCATCAATAGATTTATAACAGCAAGTTTCGGAGGAATTTTTCTCTGACTTTTCACGACGATAGTGATCTATCATAAAATGCTGAAAAATTCTAGTCAACACAGGATACAGATTGAAGCTCAAGTTTGTCAGTTTCTAGACTAAATATTCCACCACGGTCAATTATAGAGTTAAAAGCGAGGAAGTCTTTATTGACAGCAGTGTATATAGTGAGCATATTTTGGTTGTGCTATTTCCTTTTGCCTGTGTTCTTGTTAGCGCCCTTACTTTAGGAATCATCACACCATCTTTATGGACAGCGTACGCTTTAACCGCGGCAGTAGTGTGACTTCATATATAAGCTTATCTTTTAGACAGTCTGCCAGCTAAATTGTGACGATTTTAAAATTATCCTCATCATTACACTTAAAAATGCCACTGATGACGCTATTTTGTAGAACCATAATTTGAATTTTTTAAAAAAAAGGTGCATTTGAGAAATTATATTTTTCTCCTGAGGATAAAAAGAAAAATAAGTTCGACATTAACTGAAAATGAAACTTGGTCTCTAGAAGGTTCTGTGGATAAAACTCTTGCTCTGCGTGCGTACTTTTGGAGGTTCAGTGACTTCAAAAGGAAGGTGTCAAATTTCGGTCATGACTTTTTCTCGCTATTTCAAATGCTCAAAAAGCTTCCACTTGCCTGTCATCCATGCGGACAGGCAGTGTGACTCTTTGTCGGCTGTCGTCAAGCAATAGCACAGTAGGTTGGCTCCGCCTCGTGGTTTCAGCTCAAATGCAAATTACGCTGTTTAAATATTACGTGATGGCGAGCGAATCATTTCGAATTACAAATTTACCGCCACAAACAAAGACGGTTTCGACCGGCGGAAGGAAATACAAACCTCGACAATTTTTTTCCAATGTGACGAAAACGTAGAAACTGATAAGAGCTTTGGAGAAATCCTGTGGGCCTTTGAGGATTTTTGGACGAAGGCACGTTATGAAAGGAGAGGTGCCTAAGGTACCTCTGGATCATTTGTCAATCAAATGCTGTGGCAAACATGCGCGTCTATCTTCAAAACAGCTTGAGCTGCAGCCAATACAAATCAAGTGAACAGCAGTGAATTTCTCAAAAGCTCTCATAAGTTTCTACGTTTTAATCACAATGGAAAAAAATTTGTTGAGGTTTATTTCTCCTTCCGTCAGTCGAAACCGTCTTTGTTTGTGGCGGTAAATTTATAATTCGAAATGATTTGTGTTTTATGCACTTGTTGAAATTGTTATTTGTTCCTCTTATATTGACCTGCCTGTACCCATGCGTTTGTCCGTGATCAAACTTTAAATTAAAGGAAGTCATTATTGTGGCTAGCTTACGTTATTCGTGCAAACAGAACGAAGTATGATTAAGGATCGATGATGATGAACTTGTCAACTTTAAGCTAAATTTGTCAAATTCACAATGATAAGATATAACTTATTCAACTTGCAAATCTAAGAACGTTCCTCGTTTGATGGAAACAATGCATTAGAGGATTGGTGTTTTAAAGTAAAGAAACCATTCACAGCCCACTTAACAAAATCGAAAAAAATTGCAACAACGTTAACAACTACAACAAAAACAAAGATAAGGAGTTGCAGGCGCTTAGCATAAGTTAGAAGTAAAACTGCAAAGGTCTATCTACGGGCTTCAGTACTTATGTTAGCGAGCTAAATTTCAATCATTCAAGATATCAATCAAATTCCCCCCTAATCAATACTGATTAAATTGACTTTTATTTGAAATCTCTGAGTACAGGTCAATCGATCTATCAACGAGCACAATCCTATGACACTACTGACTCTGATAACCCCTGTTAAGTTTTTAAATATGTACTCAACCTATTTAGCTCCTCTGAGCTTGACCAAGAAATTATAAATTCATGATCTCCTGGCTTGACACAGGTACTGCCTTGAGTTAAATTTAAAAATGAAATAAACCATGATAAATATGTACCCAACCTATTTAACTCTCCTGAGCTTGACCAAGAAATTATAAATTCATGATCTCTTGGCTTGACACAGGTACTGCCTTGAGTTAAATTAAAAAATTGGCTCAAATAGATTAATTTTTCAAAGGGCATCGAACCAGATTGAAACTTTGGAAAAAAACGTGGTGAGCGATCGCTTTCGTTTTCGCGGGCCCATTAAAATCTAGCGCGGAGTCCATTTGCCAGCCTTGACGCTTTCTGTTAACAAGAAAACAACTACGAGTTACGCTCTTCATAAACGCCAGATATGAAGAAAGTAGGAGAAATCATAAGCGTGTTAAGAATGGGAAAGCAGCTGCAATCACACTTCAAGACTGTTTTTTGATGAGGTTGAAACGGTTGAACCGAATAAAACACGAGCTTAATTTTGTGTTGAACACATTATTTAGCGATGCAAATTGTCTTCATATGCAGAAACTATATCTCTGGCCTCGGTTTTTCATAGGCTGGATGGCGCTTTCCACCAGATAAATCGCTAACCAGGTGATACCGGTAAGTGTTAACAAAACTTTCTATTCTATCTACTGTATGGAAATTTATCCAGTGGATAGCGTTATCCAGCCTTCGAACGGCCGAGGCTTTGTCTAAACCACTTTAAGAAAAAGTTTCCAACCAGTTTTATGATAAGATAGTTATATGATAGTATCAAGAGCTTAAGGTGTAGTAATGTGTTTTAGGCGATATGACACAATTATATCTTTCACGAGAGGTGGTGAAACACATTTGTAAAATCGTTTTAGTTTCACGGGGTTCGCGTCAAATTATGTTTTCTAAATAAGTTCAAACAAGCGTTTGCCATCATACGACTGAAACTGTGGTCTCTGATCTACGGACTAATATTTTTCCCGAGTGAAAACTAAAGTTCCTTAGCACACGGACGGAAGAAAGCTGAGCGGTGACCAACTATAGGGTAATTACTTTCTACATTTACGATAGAAAAGCGTTTCACTGGCTGGGTGCTGGTTCCAGGCTCTCTACAGACTGATGATAACTCTTCATGGCGATGTTTCCTCCAGGTGTGTCATCAACAACAGTAGGGATCACAACATTTTTTTTTTTGCGCTTCCTCTTCAAACTAAAATAAAGAGATTGAAGAATAGCTTCATATTGACAATTCAAAACTCTTGATTTTCAAGAGTGTAGTAAGGTGTTTTAGGCGATATGACACAATTATATTTAACGGTTTTTAATTCGCGAGACGTGGTAAAACACATTTTTAAAATCGTTTTAGTTTCACGGGGTTCACGTCAAATTATGTTTTCTAAATAAGTTCTGACAAACGTTTACCATCATACGACTGAAACTGTGGTCTCTGATCTACGGACTAATATTTTTCCCGAGTGAAAACTAAAGTCCCCCAGCACACGGACGGAAGAAAGCTAAGCGGTGACCAACTATGGGGTAATTACTTTCTACATTTACGATAGAAAAAAGTGTTTCACTGGGTGGGTATTAGTTACAAGCTCTCTACAGACTGATAACAATTGTTCATGGCGATGTTTCCTCCAGTTGTGTCATCAGCATCATTAGGTAATACAACATTTTTGTTTTTGCACTTCATCTTCAAACTAAAATAAAGAGATTGGAAAATAGCTTCATATTGATAATTCAAAACTCTTGATTTTCATTTGAATTTACGTGGTAAGGAGTCAAAGGAGAAAGCTGTACCCCTCTGATGTGGTGCCTTCGTCTCCAGATCATACGGCTCAGGCTCAAAACATAGCTGGGGTTATTGTGTAATGCCTCTGGGCGCGTACTTTGCCTAAACAGAGCCTCTTTAAAATCGTTATATACAAGCACCGGAAAACTGTCAGGAAAACTTGAGGAAATGCGAGGGGATTGACTGGCATCCCAATCTGGGGGAGAACTGATGCGCAATAATATAGATAACGGTAAAAACAACAACAATAATCATAATAATTGCATTAACATCCCACGAGACGGATTGGAATGTTTGGTTTTCGTGGAGGAAGGAAAGCCTAAGAACTCCGAGAAAAACTTTCGGGGCAAGAACAAGAACTAACAACAAACTCAACCCACATGTGACACCTGGTCCAGGATTTGATCCCAGTTTTTGACGCCAAAAAGTGTTATTTTGACTCACCATCTCCAAACGATAATGACAACGATGACGAGAACCACTCCTCCCCCGATAGCACCAATTGCAATCCACTTCCAGGTTATGGGATCCGATTCTGCTGTTCTTACAGTTGGCGAGGAGGTTGATTCGCCAGGTTTAAACCACGCTACTACACCAGATATATTTGCACCAATAGCTGCTTCAATCTCACCTTTGTGAATGACTATAATTTGAACCAGTATTCTGTGTGGTAGTGCTGACGCGTTGCTGACATATTGGCCAACAGGTTGTTGAACATAGAACGCTACGTAAAGGAGCCCGGATGAGTTTGTGGGGTAATCAGGCAAAAGATGGATTTGATCTGTAGTATAGAGATCAAAAAAGAGCGGCCGTCTGGCAAAGAAGGACAAAAATGATAAACAAAGGGTAAATATCTATTATTTTGTCGCATTCAAGGACAGTTGAATTAGAACAAGGTGAAGAGTCTCTTGACCTATGAATGCTCTACAACGCTAAACAAACAAAAACGCAGTAAGTTTACGTATATTTAGATTTTTTGCTGGGGGGAGGATGGGGAAGACCGGAGAATCTGGATAAACTCCGTGACCCCTTTCAGCTAGGTTAGAACAAGAACAAACTGCAGACTCAATCAATTGTAAGACGTTTAATGTACATTTTTGGCGTGGAAACTGAGCGATTAACCTTCATTTGTACAAATCATTTACTATTAAAATCATCACCTGCTTTTGTTGTTGCTTTTAAAACACATCTTGTCCTGTTTTCACTACAGTATTTAGTGGTAACAGAAGCCATCTTTTCATTGAAATCCTTGTCTTTCTTGAAATCCCATTTAAACTACAAACACACCACGAAAAAGCGTGATTTAGGGGCTTAGTTATTATTAATCGCCGGGGAGCGGATAGGGGTTGAAATTAGGGGGGGACTGATTGCTTGATTCAGTCTTTATTGATTAATTAAACCAAACACTTGCAGACACAAGTGCAAGTTTACAATACAATAGAAGAGGAGTTATATAAAAAGGCTAACTTTCTTTACAAACATTAAACTATTACAAAGCAGCGCTTAAAGCGCTCTGTGCGAATACGTGGCAACACATAGTTATGACCACGTTGACTTTAAGATTTATATGTACGTTTGTTCGGTAGAAGATCTGTTAAACACATGGGTTGATCACATGGTTTTCAGGGGGAAACAGAGGGGAGCCAGTCGTCGCTAGCAGAGTATAAATGGGGGACTATAATAAATTAACTGCCAGTAAATGGGGGGAGGTCATCACAATAAAACGAAACTTAAGGAGGGAATCAGATTATTTTATTGTGACACAACCAAAATCGTCCAGACCTCCTCCTCAGGCAATAAACAGTAATTGGTCCTTAGGGATTTCAAGTTCCTTGCGACTTCATCAGCTTCATCATCTTTGATTGCATAAAATTCTCAAAAAGTCCATTGGTAATATGATCATACCCACCCCATTTTTATGTTCAATCGAGAACTGGACGGCTTCCTCTTTTTCTTTGTTTGAAGGTTCGCGTGGCGTTTGTAACTCTGGCTCTGGAGCTGTCTGATTCTTCTCCAAACCTAGAAAGAAAATAACGGACAATAGAGTCCACACTCTGGTAAGCGTTCTCCTCTAGACAAGCGCCCTCCCCCCACTTCCCCCTCCCTCCTTCCTTCATTTCCCTAATAGAAGGGATACGAAAAAAAGTTGTTGCTACTGCCAACTTATTTATTAAATTTTAAACTCCAACTACAGCGGAATCAGTACAGAATAATAATGAGTGCCCCCCTCGATTAAACGCTCTCCTTCCAATTAGTGACTCTCCCTTAAACCAAAATTCTATATAAGCGCCTGACTGCTTATTCAAGGAAATATGATATTAATCTATCAAAAATAGAAATCATATTATCAAATTACTTAATGTTGGTTTATTTCATTTGCGTTTGTCTACGCCCCTGCATATCATGCGGTTCATGGTTTCATAAAATCATATTCATTAGCACACTATCCAAGGCCATCTAACATAAAAATTGTCGAAAACTGGAAATGAAATTTCATCCTCATTATTACAATTTTATTCAGTTCTCAGTTCTAGTTCGAATCCTGATCCTAATCATGAATCGAGTTACAAAAAGACGCATTTTTTGCAGTCGTTACCTCTGCATTTTCCGTCAATAAAGTACAAGTCTTGATCACATTCACACTTGTAAGAGCCACGAGTGTTAACGCATTTGTGAAACTCATCCGTGCAGTTGAACAAGCTCACGTCGAGGCACTCGTTAATATCTGATTAATAAAGTACAAATAACAATTAGAAATCAAAAGAAACGAAGAAAATCATGCAAAATTTAAAAAAGTAAATGGCAAACTGCTGCAATGAAACAGCTGTTTAATTTAAGCACCAAGTTTCGTTATCAACCTTCACAATCGTAACCATCCTTGGCTATTTCAAATCCTTTTTCACAAGAGCAGCTATAACTCCCTGGAGTATTTTTACAGATCTGACTGCAGCGATGACGGGGATTCGAAGGATCGCATTCATCGATATCTGAAAAGTGAAGTGAGTAGCAAAGACATTAAGAGATGGCCTTCTAGTTGATGAAATGATAACAGATCTCAGATATGCAAGTCGGGTGAGGATGACAAGAACAAAACTAACTTGACGTCAGTAACGTGGGAAGTGTGAATGTTACGTGTATGGTGTGTTATGCGAAGTGTGGGATGCGAAGTGTGAGGTAGAAGAACCTGTGTGAAATGAGAGGTAGGTTTGTAACATTATTATCCTTTCTTCTGACTGACCTTTGGGATTACTTTGATTTTGCTTTACAATACTCAGTTGAAAAGCGAAGGAACCTCTTTTTTTTAACCTCTCTCGGTTATCAGTCACAAATGTTCACTCAAGAAGAGTCAACTTTACTGCATATATTTCGCTGTAAACTCATATTGAAATTTATAGTCGCAAAATTTCTTAATACCTCTGCAACTTATGCCATCACTGTCCAGCTCATAATTAGCATCGCACGTGCATTTAAGTTCATCATCGTCCCCTGTGAAGCAAACATGTTGACAGCCATGGCCAGCAGGACAAGGGTTTATGGCTGTGTAAAAAAAATGTCACATTGACATTAGATAGAATTATTTGTAAATGTGATAAGAACTTAATAACGTGTCGTTTTCATTGATGAAATGAACGAATTTATTAGAAGTCCCTTTTTTTACATTTTTACTTATAATCGATTTCAAGGGATTATAAACAGTTTATATTTTCTTGCTGGCGGTTAATCTCTTAGCCGTTATACTGCTAACGGTTTACCCCTTTGAGACCCGCTGAAAAGAATATTGAAGTGCATGGGCTAATACCCAATTACTCATCCGGCTGCAACTCATTACGAGTATAACAGGCCAGCCATCGATATTGTTCTCAAGTCTCCTTAGCAGTTCGCTACCAACCATTTTGACAGAGGCACTTTGTGAGTGAAATTCATTACCCATGAACTCAACAAGTTGACTTGGTCAGGTTTCGAACCCAGACCTTTTGATCAAAGACACAATGCGCGTTCCATCGGGTGGTTACGTTTCCCCAGGATGAAGCCAGTAATGTTTCCACAAACACCCCATTCTCACCTACACACTTCTTTGGATCACTGGGATCAACTTGAAAAAAATTGTCGCATGAACAGCTGTAACTTCCTCGTGTGTTGTTACACTTCTGCATGCAATCGTTTGTTGGCAGGCATTCGTTAATATCTACAAGCAAATGAAAGAATATCTTTCACATTGACCACAACTGTACCTAACATTACTCTTTTTAAATGATGGACTAGAGAGGAGGACCAGACGAACTTAAAAAAGAAGGATTAGCTCAAGGATAATTTTTATAACCTTACGTTTTTTTTTATAACATAAAAATATAAAGTATGTACATGACAACACATAAACAGTAAAAGCTTAAAAATTTGAACAAGGTGAAAACCGTCGACACACGTAGAGAAACTCATGGTAACGTATAATGCGTAGGGAGTTCATCAGGGTTAATTGTGAGTCAGTTCCTGACTCCTCTTTTCATATAAAATCAATCGGATCTGGGAGAAAATTACTCTGCAAAATTCAGTTCCATTTCAGGGTCATGCGTATCCCCAAAACAAAGCGGAATAGGACTTAAAGAAACTGGACAGGAATTAAAGTAATTGGACAGGAATAAAAGAAATTAGGTGGCTTACCATCACACGTGCCGCCATCAGCATTCAGTTTGTATCCGTTGTTACAATCACAGAAGTAAGAACCTGGCAGATTGACACAGAGCTGATCGCAGTTAATTCCCGACTTATTTTGGCATTCGTCGATGTCTGAAAAATAGTGCATAGCGTCAATTAATCAGTAACTTACACCATTGTGTAAAAACTGTCTGAACGTTCACGTACGTTATCATTAATCGTTCTTTTAAAGTCCCTTGTGTGTAAGATCACAATGTATTCTCGACTTGGTTATCTGCATTTAAATATTTAACGATTTTTCAGTTCTTTGAGTCTACTGGTGTAAGAAACGATGGCTTTTTGATCGATCAGAGGGTCCTTTTGAATTTCCACACAAAGATAGCTATAGGAAGTGAGGTTATTCGAGATCAGAAGACTTAACATGCACAACTTTTTTCTTTCGCTATTCGCAAACAATTCAAATTTGCCCCGAGGTGGCAAGATGTTTTCACGTGTGCTAGCTCGAGCAAGTCACTGAATTCACCTTTGCTCAGAATTAAACTTCATCCTTGGAAAAATTGAAAGAACCCACCAGCACACTGAGCTCCATTTCCAGTGTACCCTGATGGACAAGGTCCACATTTATATCCACTGGAATTGGCTGGCGCAGGAAGATCAATGCACGCAACTCCCGCGTAACACGGCTGACCATTCATTTCGCAGGCGTCAATGTCGCTGTCACAGAATCTTCCTGTGTATCCTCCCTGACATGCACATCCCATGTATACAAACTTGCTGTCAGAGTTGGCTGTGTCACCCTCTTCTGGCTTTACGCATTGACCATCATGTTGGCAAGCACACATGTTAATAATTGGACTCCAACTGGCACTTGCGCCTTTGTCGTTAGAAGCAACGAAAGTCAAACTGAACTGCAAAGGGAGATTTCAGACGGCGTTAAGCTTTTATTCACCCGAGTAAGCCCCCACTAGAAAAATAACGTGGTAGAGACTCAGATAACCCGCGATTGCACGGAAAAGTTTTAGCTAGTTTTGAGGTGATTGAAACAAGGAATGTACCTCTTTCGCGTTTCGAATGCCAAGGCTTTACGAAGAGAAGTACATTCAACTAATTTCTCGCGCCTTCTGTGCAGTTTGCCTTTGAAAGCGCGGTAAAATTCTTGAAGTCCCTCACAGACGACTTTCCTCAGAACGGTACAGGAACATAGCTGATACGTTTAAAGTATACGTTACGCTGCAAAATGAGAAATGACGGATTCTCTCGAAGCGAAAGATAAAACTTTACATACCGTATCAGATGCTTTGATTAGATGAGAAACATTTTCTATTTTGAAGAGACAAAATGTTGGTAAGCATACCTTTCTTGATGTTGTAACAAGCCAAGTGAAATATAACAAGTTACCAGTCTGGTTCCAAGTGGCCCCTTCAGGATTGTTAATCACGCGAAACTTAATCGTGTCGTTATCGACAGCCCTGATGCTCAAGTGAACTGTATCACCAAGGGTCGCATTTATCGCGTTCGAAACAGTCTCTATTTTGGGCGGGAAGTTGTCTGTGAAAAAGAAAAGTGAACGCGTAACAATGTAATCGTGAAATAAATGCTACAGGTAAATTGGATCCGCAAAAAAATATATCAGAAGTTAATTGGGGACGCTGAAAATAGGAAAAATTTCTGATAGATTCTCCCACAGAGTATCGGGAATCCCAAATGATTACAACAACTTTACGCAGTATTATCGACATTTAAATATTTTATCAATTTTAACCCATTAAGAATGTTTAGATACCAAAAGAAAAAGACTACATTTGGAATACAGTTGTCTCCAAAACGAAGTATCAGGTTAAAGTTTAATAGGCAGCACGGACCGAGTTTTTTTTGCGATCCAATTTATGGCACAAGCAGGAGATATAATGATAAATTCAAATACTTACTGAGTTGTTTTGTCTCATTCACCAGTTGAATGCTGATATCTTTGGTTACCAAGCCAAGAGACAAGTCGTTGGTGGAAGCCACGTCAAATAGACACTCGTGATCGTTTCTACATTGATCTTCAGCTTTCTGTCTTAAACTGTCATTATGCCACGTGATGTTATCAGCAAACATGGGCTCAAAATCAGGATCCGAAAAACTGGCCACGCTTTCATTGTTACCATACGTAAATAAAGATTGGGACTGGTTAATTTGCCCTGAAAAGAATAGCGTAGAAGACTTGTAATGAACTTGTAAGGCTGTAATGACGCTTTAGGATCAACCGTCCAACTGCCATATTTTAGCGCGAAGACAAAAGATAAAAAAATTAAGAAATTCTTAGGAAAAGAACTCTCAAATTCCGGCTGCCTTCCGCGTCCTCGAAATGCCGGAGTTTAAATTTCTTGTGCTAACCGAGTTCGAAGTCCGTTCTTTAAGTTACGCTTAATTATATCCGAGCGGAAAAAACGAGTTTCCATAAGTTACAGTACGAAGTTAGCAAGATATTTAGTATGTCTCTAAAATTAAATTGAGGTGAAAGATTTCAATTCAAACAATTTTTTTTAATTTAGCGACCCGTGCAGTGAAATACGGCCCACTAAATCAGGCAGTCTTAGGGCACGCTCTAACCTAGAGACCTTATGTTCTTCCCTGTGTGATGTGTGAGTAGAGTGCTTCCCACTTACAAGGAAAAGCAAGAAAGACTGTGTGGGGATACTTACACTTGACACCAAACGAGAAATGAATATCCCTTAATGAAAATGACTTTAAAACAGTCCCATCAGGCCTTGTGAAGTCATCATCCGGGTTATCGTTCCACGTTCCCAACAGTCCTTTGGTGGTGTTTTTGAAATCCTCACCGAGACTTACCACAAACGACAACATTTCTTTCTTCACACAGAAGTTGACAGATGTTGTTGAGGGAAAGGAAACCTGTAAACAGTTTTCCTCTGGTGCTGAAGCAGAGAGATTTCCACCGATTGCTATACTTTTGTCTATTAGGTTGTTGTAGCCGTGGTAGATTTTCTTGTCTAACAAAATGTCCAGCCCTCCTAAAAGTGAAGAATATGTAAGTCAAACTACACCGTCGCAACTATTAGGACTGCTTTCTACGGATGTTAGCGTTAATCTTTATCCGTCTTTATCTTTATCAAGTGTGAGATCATAACTTGCTAATCGTCCTCATTTTTTTTCATGTTATTAACTGGTAATTTTCAAATTTTTTAACAACATGTAGTATTCTGAGTTATTGAGGAACGCATCAAAAATCTATCCAAACTCTCTCAAGGCAGATTTTAACCCTGCAGTGAGCAATTAATTTATCAATTAATCGAGACATTCTTTTTTTTGTAAGTTATGTAAATTGCATAACAGTGTCCTTACCTTTAGGCTTTACCCGTATTTCGATTGTGCTCGTATTTTCTTCTTTAGCTGCGCCGGCCGAGAAAATAGTTGCTTTCGTGTTATTCCCTTGAGCACGTTTTGTTCTGGCCTGAAGTTGGAATTGTCCCTCATTTGCATCAACCATGATGAATTCACCGAGACCATTGAAAGTATAGTTTCTATCATCTAATGTTTTAATGTGAGGATCACCCCAGAACCAACCTAAAAATGTAACAGAAAATTCTCAAAAACATACCGAAAGCAAATAGCGATGATATTTTATTCCACGTATTAAAACATTTCGAATTAGGGAGTTGGTTGCTGGAAGGGCGAAAAAGTCAGTTACTTTTTTAATGTGAGGATCACCCCAGAACCAACCTGAAAATGTAAAAGAAAATTCTCAAAAACGTACCAAAAGCAAATAGCGATGATATTTTATTCCAAGTATTAAAACACTTCGAATTAGGTAGTTGGTAGCCGGAGAGGGCGGAAAAGTCGTAAATTTTTGCTTTGTGAGTTTCAGGCCCTGATGTAGTATTTTCAGCGTCCCGTTGAATAGTAAAGATGGAGCGCAATTTTCCTGCAACATCGCCAAAGTCGATTGCCATACCGACTGTCGTGACAATGTATGAACTCAGGAAATAGTTGTCGCCCTTCTTTTAAACAATAAAGGGGTAAGTTTCTAAAGAAACTGTGGTGCTGCGTCGGTGGGAGAGTATAGCAGGTAATTTAGTGTTAACAACTGGGTTGAAAACGTAAATTAGCCACCGTAAAGGGTAAAAAAGCTGAAGTTTCGAGCGTTAGCCCTTCGTCAGAGCGATTGAGCGATCGCTTTTTTACCCTTTACGGTGGCTAATTTACGTTTTCTTTTAAACAACTTGAACCAACATGTGAGACCACACAAGGTACGGGCGGTCTGGATATGTTAGATGTAACTGAAGTGAAAAAAAAAAGACACCATACGACTCCACAGGGGAGCAGGCTGGCACAGTGGTGCTGTGGCTGGGGTTCGATTCCCGGACCTGGAGTCACATGTGGGTTGAGTTTGTTGTGGGGTCTAGTCCTTGCTCCAAGGGTTTTTCTCCGGGTCCTCAGGCTTTCCTCCCTCCACAAAAACCAGCATTCCAATTTCAATTTGACCTAGAAACAGTGGAAAAGAACTGAACTTACGTCTTAATGGCGGCCTATACAAGGAGCAGTGATCTGACGGACGGTAGAAATAGAAATGCTCACACATATTTGTATCAACACAACAAAACTGATAAGCCTGCCGGTCTGTGTACATTTCCTCCATCTTTTCAACCTGATTAAACCAGTCATCAACTTTGACGTGTCCGCCATCAGGGGGACCAACCTTGAGAGAGCCCCAGTCGTCCCAGTTAGTTGAGTAACAACACTGCTGTCTCACGGTAAAACCCCTGATATCACTATTCATTGGAAAGGGAATGAATTTGACACGCCTGGACTCGTAACACCAATTAGGCCAAGTGGACCACCAATCCCAAGAGAATCTTCCCCAATCTAACCAGGCTTGCCATTCCGTACAAGGACAGGCCATCCGCCAGTCTGAACGTATCAGTTTATCGTACCAATCACGCATGTTCAATTCTCTTTGGCGCATACTCCAAGCCATGCACTTCTCTAATGAGTCTTTTTCCGTATTGTTCTCGATCCTCCAGAAATATTTTCCAGATGATCCCGTATTTCCGTTTTGTTTATCTAGATTATACATTCCAAACAAAGTTCCGGATCTAAAATAGAACAAAAAATACAAATCAATTAAAAAAAATGAACTATAAAGTTCTTATTTCAAGGAAAATGATTAAAGATTGTCATAGACCTCCTGATGCAGTTTTCTTACCCTTTAATGTTAAGGTAATCCTGACCATCATTCCCTGCGTTCCACCCAACAGTAGGGAGACCATAGTAGCCAGTCCAGTAACGGTAATCAGAACTGTGAGGAAGTAGAAGTCAGTTTTTGATTATACTTGAATAAAGCTAATTTTTAATTGAAGCCAGTCTTAGCCTCGGTATTAGACGGTGTTTTGGGTGCTTGGTGAAAATAAAGGCCTACTTGCCTCGAAAACGAGTAGTGGAACTCTCTCAATTTTCTTTTCCAGACCCCTTGCGGCTCCTCGGCTCAACGATTGAAACCACTCACAGAACCGCCAGCTAAGCCAATATATCGTTCTTCGAACTAGGCGAAAGTTTCGTGCAAATCGTGGATTGCAAGAATTGAGCAGCTAACATTACCTCATTAAGTTTAAGAAAGGTTTATCATGGACATTGTTAATCAATAAAATAGACTGGAATTATGTATTTTAAAATAGCTAAAAAAAGAAACTTACTGATCTGCAGGAACCACCCACTGAATGCCATTGTGGGGATAATTGTACATCAAGAACGTGTTAAATCCATCTGTTATTATAACTGCTTGAAATGTGTTGTTCTGAAAAAAAAATTGAAACTAATATCAACTGACGTACCTACACTAAATGACAAAGATATTTTTAGGAAGGGAAGAGATATGAAAATAATGCAATGTGTATTATAAAAAAGATATTGAAATCTAAAGAAGAAAAATATTTCTCCTATTTCTTTGTTGCTGTTGGTTTCTTTGTGGTTTTTTACATTTCCCAGTTTTGTCAATCTATTTTTTTTTCAATTCTTCATTTATTCGAAACGCATGCACTGTAAAGAGTGGAAAATTACTGGTCTCTCTAAGCCTGGACACCAGTGTGAACTGCATTGTAATCGTAAGTAAGACTTTACGTGAACAGCAGGTGGAATAATAAACAACTATTCACCGAAGTGGAGCTGACTAGTAATGATATTTACCGAGCTGCAAAGCGGTGGGGCAAAATCGCACAAAAGATGATTTCAAATCATTAATTCCCGCAACGATTACAATATTTTAAGGCGCAAATCCTGCGCGTGAATGCCCGGAGGTGAATGGCAAACAATATTTCAAAGTGAAGTTTGAGTAGCCAATCAGAGCGCGCCTTCGACGCTATCCACTGTTTTAGTATGTACTAAGAATGTCCATGGACTAGTTTGATCAACCACACCTATTTACTTACCCAGCGACAGTTTAACTCAATTTCCTGGTCTCCATAATAGAAATAGTAGTATGGATAATAGACGTACGGACAGAGATTCTCCCAAGTCACTACAAGGACCCAGGAGGCCTGAAAGTTGGAAAATCCTTCAGCGTAGTTCTGTACGTGTTTTGCAGCCATATCAAGAATATTAGAGGAGCTTTCCTTACTTTCTTCGTATACTTGATAATACACCCTGGAATGGTTTTTTTTGAAGGCAAAGTAAGTATCAGTCGTCGCCCAGAAAGGTGCAATAACAGCCATATTTCTGAACCATCGGTAGATACCAAACTTCTGCGGCCACCACCAGCTCCATTCATAGTTCAGTTGGATTTTACCGTCGCGGCATATCTGCAAGGCAGAATGACAGAACACAATCAGGCAGCTTGATCATAAAGCGGATAATCATAGTTTTGCAGGCTGATCTTGTACATTTGTACGTTATGATTATTTACAGATGTATGCAAACCCCAGAGTGCTCTCTAGCATTACACACGAATGGCAAATCTAATTCTTAAAATACAACCTTGAGATAAATTATAATGCTAACAAGTTAAAGCAAGTTTTCAATTGAGTGTCGAAAGACCAAAACCAAATTGTTCCCAGCGACTGAGCAGACCAAAGGGTTACATCATTATTGGCCAATGAGGACTCAAAGAGAAAACAAGGAGACTGCTTGGCGCGCGGGAAAACGCAGATGACCAAGTCACGATTGTTGGCAAGTTTTGCATCTGATTGGTTGAGAGGATGGCGCGAGTTTTCTGGACCAATCATAGTGAAAAGTTGAGTAAAAATTGATGTTTACTGAACTTAGTTGAAGAAATTGAGTATTTCTATAGGTTTTAAGGCTGGAAACTAAAGCAGGAAAGAAAATATAACCTTTTTAAGGAAGATGCTTGTGGTACTAAGAAATTACGCCGAGTACGACGATAACGTAACACATATGAAGATCATCGAGAAGAACTTACATGCAGTTTATAATGTCTCCCCGAGAAGAAGGGGAATCCCTTCCAGTCTGTATTTATTCGTAAGCACCGCCGGGAGAAAAAAGACCGTGAATCTTCGAGACGAAACTCGCTGTCATTCTGCTGAGGGCCAAACGGATACACGTTGCTCGCTTTGAATTGAAAAAGTATAGGAAATAGTGAACTTCAAGTAATAGAGCATTACCGTGTATATGCAGCTTCATCTCAACTCGATAGGGGCTGTAAGAATTAAATTAAGACAGTTATTAAACAAGAGATGTATTCTAAATGACAGGCTGGTCTAGTAATAGAGAAAGCGGTAATTTAAATTAAATTTTCTGAAAAAGAGCATTTAGCTAATTCTTTCCAGGAATGAAATTCATTTGCATTGTACACAGTTTCGTTACAGTTGCAATCTATTACATTAAGGAAGCACAACAAACACAAGGAATATAAAGACAAAACAAAACAAATTATAGAAGAAACTATAATTGCTTACTATCAACAGGAGGGGCAGTCGTTTTGTTAGCTGCTGAAAAATAAAGAACAACATAATATGTAACAGCAAATGTTCATAAATAAACAGAAGTCAAAATACTTCAAACTAGATAATATCTAATCTAGAGCAGCTGGTGAGTAAGGAAGGATTCCATATCAGCACTCGATGTTTTACTGAGGTAGATGTTTAACGATATCATGCCCTAAACAATTTTTGAGAGGTTCTATTGGCAAAAAATGACGCTGTTTGTTTTCAAATTACTGATGAAGGTATTTGTAGTAGGTGGCTCTGTTGTGACCGCTAAAAGAAAGATTAATTAAACCTAGATATAATAATTCTATCTAAGGTAAAATTAGTACTTATTGATAATATATACTTTAAACCTTTATTTTTCTGAAAGATGCAAGGGATGAGAAGCCATTGATCTCAAAAGTTAGAGAATTGGAAAACTTTGGACCTTTATAGAAAATGAAAAACTGCGGAATATTTGTTACACATAATGGCGAACGAAAGGAGTTTACATGCCTTGTGTTTTAGTCGTAGATTTGGTCGTTTCTTATGGGTACATTTTCAAATTTTCAAAGGGGATCGTCTTTTTTGATAAGAACATAAACTGACCTAACTGTACCAAATGAATGTCTTGAAATTTAAGAAAGTTAAGTTTCTTGAAAAAAGGGACAGGTATGTACCTCATATTTGGACATGTTTATTCGTCTAATTACACGTTTTCGAAAAATTACAACTCTATGAAGATTTCTTTTATTGTTGATCCTCAGACTAGATTATGATAATTAAAGTATGAAAGTATTATTGAGTTATATATGTGCTATGTAAAATGTGTGGAGTACCTCGTTTTAACCAATTTTGACTTGAAGTGCTGCACATTCTAAATGTTTCACATTCTAAATGTTTCACATTCTAAAAGTTTCACCGGTGATCAGCTCGATTTCGAACGTTTCGAGCTAAATTGTCTTGACTTTACATTAATAGCCAACAGAATACTATTTCCGATCTCACTTACAAACCGAAAACGAGGCAATCTTAATATTAAACCCCGCTTTTTTTATGGTGGAAAAAAGTTTAGTCCCAAGTGATTTGAAATAAGTAAACGATCGAGGTTATTGAACTCTAAATTAAAGGAACCGCTCTATTGCTTTGGCAGGCAAATATGCAGCGACGGAGCTTTATGCTCGAAACTTCAGCTTTTCGAAATTCCAGTTAACCAACAATTATCAACTTGAAGTGGATGATCAACTGAGTTGAGTAGGGCAACTTGCCCATCCCAGATGGGATAATTATGCAATAAAGGGGTTAGTTTCTAAAGAAACTGCATGTGCTGCTGCGTCGGCTGAGAGGTTTCGAGCGAAAGGCTAAAGAGGGGAAGGGCTAACGCTCGAAATTTCACTGTTTTTTCTTGTTATTAAGAAATAGCTCTTTAGAGTTAGATTAAGCTCCTTTAGCCAACCCATTGGAAAAAAAATAGAAAGCTTTGGATAAAATTCCGTAATTTTACCCATGAATACAAAATTCATTTTCATATAAAACATGACCTTTAAGACACCAGACATTTTCTGACAATCTTGAGAGGTTCCTGTCAGTAATTCGATCGGAGACGCTGTCAATGATAGTCGGACCAAGTCTATCAGCATTGTCCGAGTTTTGAACTTAAAGTTTAATCTGTATAAGACGTCATTTGCTTCTTGTTCGTCTTATAAATATATTTCATTCGCCCTATCTTACGTCACTGCTCAAGACCTCCAATTAGTTCATGAATCGAAGACAAACAAAGTAAACTTCGAGTATTTTAATTTTCCGGCTTAAAAAAAACCGTGCTACTAACGGCTGACTCTAACACATCTGCTTCTGTCTATATTTAACATATGATCCTTTTAATTATTTAGAGTTTCACAGTCATGATTTAATGAAACCGGTTCTACCAGAGAAATATTGTGTCAACAACATCGAAAAAATAGTGTTTTGACTGTCAACGGGTGGTTTTTTTTCCTTGCTTATGTTCTGCCCAGCAGAATCACTCTATAGTTATAAATCCACGGTATTATATGAAATGAGGTATATATATATATATATATATATATATATATATATCCGACTTCTTATATATATGTCTATATATTTAACAAATAGAGAAGCCTCAACTGTGCGCTGTTCTGTTGTAAAGCACGCAGGAAGCAGTTCGAGCACGAAATAAGTGTAGGGAGAAACACTCGACTACGTCTCGTGTTTCTCCCCACTTCTTAAGTTCAAAAACAATCAAAGTTCACATTCTGCAATTTTTTACAAACTTAAATAGTTTGGCAGGTCGAATCTCACACTTTTGCCAGAAATTTTTTAGTCTCTAATACAGAATATAGGGGTGAAATGTTCGGTGAAATCCGGACGAATTGTGGCCCACAAAAACACGCAAGTTTTTTCACATAACAAATAGTAAACAAATTGCTCAAGGCGAGTTTTACGAATTCACCGGAACATGAAGATTTCTCGGGATGACAGAGCCGTAAAACTCAGTTGCAGTGACTGATGTGGCCTTCACCACTCAACGCATCGGAAAGGACATCAGAGCAAGCTCTTTTTGTTCACTCGAAGGGCGGTCGATGTAATTTCTGACTGGCTTGCTTCACTGGCGATCTCTGAGCTAGCCACGTTGGACCTCAGCTTGATCGCAGTCGCTCTGACACCGTCATGATTAGTATGAATTATAACTGTTCTGCCACTTTGGCTATATTTTTTATCACTCCTGTTTTGTTCTGTTTTGTTCTTGAACTCGAACTTTAAATACTATACGTGTTAGTTGTGTTTTATTTTTATCACAATTCGTAAGCTTGCAATCTAACTGAGCGTGAAAACCTTCAAAGCGCGGACTGTCCATTTCTTTTTCTCTTTGAGGATTTTCGTCTCTGCTTACGTTATAATAACGTCAATTACGGCGCCTAGCATGTTTATAAACCTTTGTTTGGTTGTTCTGCTGCTACTGAGATAGGGAAAAAACAAAGAGGCTATAATTTCATCCCCGTACAAGCCAGTTTCGTGATTATTCACTAATTAGGGGATTCTATTAAAGATAAATAAAATTCCCTGATGAGTGAGTAATCACGAAACAGGCTTGTAGAGACGAAAGTACAGTCTCTATGTTTTATATAAATATATATGTATATTTTTTTTGCGACGTAAAAGTTTACATATGACAAAAAGAGCTTATCACAATTTACTAAGCACACTCCAGTATTACACTTTAGCGTAATTTAGTTCATCGATCGACCAAATAGGAAACGCCGCAGCTTCTGAATAAAACGAACCTTAAATATGTTCTCTTCTTTTCATAAGATCCGTTGTCTATTTCTTCCTTTTAAAGGCTCCGTAACTCGGTTGTTTTGAGCAATCTTTTGCCTTCAAACCCTATTTTCACAGTACAAGAAGTTGACACCTATATTATTGGTTTTCATGTGATGCCACACACCTCGATTAAAGTGTAGCGTTTCTTGACGCCATCTTTGATTAACATGTTTGCAAGCCTGTCGATTAATCTTTAACTTTGACGTTTTTTAACGAATTTGACACACGAAGACCTTAAATTAAGTTTAGCCTCGACTAAACTTTGTTTCCTCAAATATTAGAAGGCGAGAAGTTTAATGTTAACTTACCTTTGTGGAAAATGATAAGAAGAATCAAAACATAACTTCCGCTTTGCCTCATACTTTCAAGTTAAGTTAAGGGTCTTGACACTTTCTCGCTACATTTTCTTGACCACGCAAACTACAAACAAGGTTACTGGGCAGCTTTGAAGGCCTCTTGAGAACTACGTAATGGTGAAAAAAACTGTTTTTGAAAACATTTTTTCAGTCGTCGTTTTGACGACGTACTGTTTATGGATGAACGTCTGTTCGGGAACACTTCCGTCTTTTCTGAGAAACCGATGCGCCCTGTTTTCTGTCACTTAGAGGTTTGACGTGATTTGGCGTTTGCGAAAGATCTCAGCAGGGTGTATGTCGCATGGTAGTCACAGCTTTCTCCGTCTTATTACCGGTAACCTGAACTCGATAAGGTTTTTAGGCCAATTCCACCGACTTGCAAAACCATCAATTCACCTTCTTATACTATTTTTTATACATGTATGCGCCATCAAAAAGGTTCTCTCGTTATCATGCGCCATAGAAGAACGGATTGCATCTCTTATCTACTCTGATGAAGGTCGTAGAGATGAACGAAAGTCAAAATAGGTCGTTTCCATTTTATCACTAAATATACTCTTGCAAATAGTGTGCCAAGCTGTTCTCCAACTCGTCAAATTTGGTCTTTCTTTACTGGTTGTAGATTTATCGCTTTTATCTCATCCCTCGCGCGCGTATATGTCAAAAAGCGTTCGTCGCGACGAGTCTTTTAAGCAGTTCGGACACAAAGCGAGAAAGATCAGATGCACAAAAAGAATAACAAACTCCAAGGCCGGTTACAGAAGAAAAAACCTACGTGAGTCTGGATTGTTACAGCGTCAAGGAAATTATATGTAGCGTGTCTTGAGCGTTTGCAGTATGTGTGTTTTCAATTCAGTTCCAACGCAACTCGTTTTTAAAAATTGGGCAAAATATTTACCGCAACCCGTCAGTAAAAATGTGTGTCTCAGCCAGGTTAACAAGAGTAGAAGTCACTTTGA